GGGCTGACACTTGTGTTACTGTTGTTGTTGTCAGTTGGAAGAAAGCTCAGATACTTTGAATTTTTTCACTTTTGTACCCAAAAATGACAAATGATTTATATTGCTTCAAGAAATAACTTCCGGGATTGTGTGCCAGGAGGTTTGAGTTTGAGGCAAACAGGACTCCCCACAGGACTCTCCCTTGGACAGACGCCAGTTCTCTCTTCTCTCTGTGTGGGCCAGGGGGTTTGAGGCAAACAGGACTCCCCACAGGACTCTCCCTTGGACAGACGCCAGTTCTCTCTTCTCTCTGTGTGGGCCAGGGGGTTTGAGGCAAACAGGACTCCCCACAGGACTCTCCCTTGGACAGACGCGAGTTGTCTCCTCTCTCTGTGTGGGCCAGGAGGTTTGATTCAAACAAGACTCCCCACAGGACTCTCCCTTGGACAGACGCCAGTTCTCTTCTCTCTCTCTGTGTCTGCTTGTTTTGCTTACAGGTATTTCTGCTGATGTGAATTATAAATATATATATAACATTTTTCATAAAAATGTTTCCGTTGACAATTGGCCATGTACATATATATATATAAACGTACACTTTTCACAAAAGTGTTTGTTCAGTCTTGTATTGCTTCAAAAGCAACGCTCATTCTTTCATTTCCCTGGTGATGTATGATGAGCACGGTATATCCAATATGTTTGTGCTTTTTCATCAGTGGTAAGACTAATGAAGTCATATATATATAGAAATAAATATATGATCTATATATTGTTTGTCTATGTTTCCCACCCCCATCAACACTGTCACTAGTTGGATGGTTCAGGTCAACTCTGTCACTAGTTGGATGGTTCAGATCAACACTGTCACTAGTTGGATGGTTCAGGTCAACTCTGTCACTAGTTGGATGGTTCAGATCAACTTTTGAGATCAGTCACTAGTTGGATGGTTCACATCAACACTGTCACTAGTTGGATGGTTCAGATCAACACTGTCACTAGTTGGATGGTTCAGGTCAACACTGTCACTAGTTGGATGGTTCAGATCAACTCTGTCACTAGTTGGATGGTTCAGATCAACACTCACTAGTTGGATGGTTCAGGTCAACACAGTCACTTGTTGGATGGTTCAGATCAACTCTGTCACTAGTTGGATGGTTCAGATCAACACTCACTGGTTGGATGGTTCAGGTCAACACAGTCACTAGTTGGATGGTTCAGATCAACACTCACTAGTTGGATGGTTCAGACCAACACTGTCACTAGTTGGATGGTTCAGACCAACACTGTCACTAGTTGGATGGTTGAGGAGGCCGGCTGATATACCCTGCCTGTAGGGGCCGGCCTAGACTGAGTGAGACTCGATACATCTCGGCAGACAGACGGTACATCCCGGTAGACAGACGGAGACAGGCCCCATCAAACGTGAGGCCTCGTGGCGGAATCAGGCGCTCGTATTTGTAAAATAACGAAATTGGAGAACAGGCAATTTTTCCACCAGTTTGGAAATGTTTATAGAATTTTGGTTTTTGGCTTAACCTCTTTTAAGTTAATATCTAAAATACACATTTCCTGGTGAATTTAACTGAGAAAACATTGAAAGAAAATACGTCGTTTTTCAGTTGTTTCAGACTCTTTGTTACCAAACTTTGACTTTGAGCCATTTTCTCGCTAATTTCTCCACTGAAACCAAGCGACCTCACTTCCTTCAATGGCAGATATCTTGAATTCATGGATATATTTATTTCATTTGTAGCGAGGCAAACAGATGAGCGTTCAGAGGATAGCAATAACACAAAACATTGACGAGCACCAGATTCCAGCACGTGGTGACACAAATGTCTCCCCACGTGGGTATCGAACTCACATCTTCTGCGTGTGGTAGTGAAGAGCCTAGCCATAACTTCATTGTGAAAGCCCGCAGTAGTTGAGTGTACTTTTGGGCCGAAAGTTTTTCAAGTTTTCAAAGCGTGCCTATTATTATTTTATTGAAATCATTTTTACAAAGAAATGACTTTTCTTCAGAGTAATTTGATTAAGATGACATCAGGTTGGGTTTTTTTTCCCCCTCCTGCGTGCTGGCTTGGTTTCGGGCGGTGAGTTGTGGTTTGGTGCGTGGATTTTCTCCCAGCTTTCTGTACACGAGGCGAGAAAATTGTAGGTGTTGGTTACAAGGGAAATTATTGTTTGCCTGCTCTTCGTTGACCAATGGCACAACCACCAGCTCAGGAGAAACCAGCGGGTGCTTTGAGTGGTTGTTACACGTATATTTCTTCTTCCAGGAATTTCTAGCGTGGGCTCCTCAAAACTGTTGTTCAGTTACAATATATATATATCTGTTAGCAATGTGTTTTGCTAGTCAGCTTTACTTAGGGTGGGTGTGGGGGGGGGGGGGCGCTGTTCTTGCCTGCCAATGGTGGAATCTGGAACTTTCTGAGCTTTATTGTTAGTTTTTTCAACTGATGGACAGAAAGTGCCAAAATGTCCTGGACCTTGAGAGACTTTTCCTCGTTTGTGTTTTGTTCTTTCAAACTGAAATAGAAGGCAATTTGCAGTCGCAGAAATTCAATAAATTTTGCCGAAAAATTGCCATGGTGTTGATTTGTATAAACATTTGGTGTTGTTTTGTAATTGAGTTTTGTGTTCAGCATGGATTCCCTGTGAGTGGGAGTGGTTGGTGGGTGCTCTGGTGTGGTTTGCTCCTTCTTTCCTATCAAACATCTATCGTCCTTATCTCCCCTTCTTCTTTTTTATGTTTGGTACTCTCTTGTAACACCTCTAATCTTCTGGCGCTCATATGACCTTATGCAGTTGCGAGTGCCGTAAAACCTCTACTAAAACAAACATGTTACTTTCCAGTAATACTTCTGATCTTGGACACTTGTGTGTGACCTGTTCGTGGTGCAAGGGCTGTAAAATTTATGAAAAGAAAAAGAAGAAAAGTGGGTGGTTGGCAGGTGCTCTGGTGTGGTTTGCTCCTTTCCTATCAAACATCTATTGTCCTTATCTAACCTCCTTTTTCATGTTTGTTACTCCCTTGTAACACCTCTAATCTTGTAACACCTCTAATCTTGTAACACCTCTAATCCTCTGGCGCTCATATGACCTTATGTGTCCCCGTAGCTTTATGCAAGAAAAGTTCTAAAATTCTGCAAACTGGGCCCAAAAATGTGAAATTATGCGATTCTGTAAATTTTAACAAAGAATGATAAAGGAAAATAATCAGAAATTATGCAAAAAATGATCCAATTTGGCTAAATTATGCGGGGTGCATAAAACCATGGGGACAGCCTTATGCAGTTTCGAGCGCCGTAAAACCTCTACTAAGAGAAAAGAAGAAAAGAACTTCTGAAACTGTCAACTGACAGAACTACATCATAGTCAGGCCTACCTTGTGACAGCGCTGAAGCTTGTCAGTTCATCGGAGGGGGTGGGGGGGGGGGGGACTAAGATGGATGATAATTGTCACCGTGTTTTACGCCGCCATCAACATAATTTAGATCATTTAGGCATTTAGGAGGCGGTTCACGTTATTGTATTTTATAGCTCATCCAGAGTATTTTCTTGCTTCACCCTAATATTTTCTAGCTCATCCCAAATCTGTTCTAGCTGAACCCTCTTATTATTTTCTAGCTCATCCCCACAATTGTCTGGTTCCTCCACAGTATTTTCTAGCTCATCCCCAGTCTTTTCTAGCTCATCCCCAGTCTTTTCTAGCTTCATCCCTAGTCTTTTCTAGCTCATCGCCAATATTCCCCAGTATTATCTAGCTCCATCCCCAGTATTTTCTAGCTCATCCCCACAATTGTCTGGTTCATCCACAGTATTTTCTAGCTCATCCACAGTATTTTCTAGCTAACTAAGTTATATTTTTCAAATCATTGTAAATATTTTCTAGTTCATCCCTATTATTTTCTTGTTCATTCCCAACATTTTCTAGCTCGTCCCCAGACTTTGGTATCTCATCCCCAGTCTTTTCTAGCTTCATCCCCAGTATTTTCTAGCTCATCCACAGTTTTCCTCAGTGTTTTTTAGATCATTCCTAGTATTTTCTAGCTGACCCCCAACATTTGTCAGTATTTTCTTGGCCATCACCAACATTAAATTACATTTTCTGGCTGATCCCAAATATTCCCCAGTACTTTCTAGCTCATCTCCAACATTTTCTAACTCAACCTTAATATTTTCTAGCTCATCCCCAGTAATTTTTAGCTCATCCCCAGCATTTTCTAGCTCATCTCCACAATTTTTTAGTTCATCCCCAGTATTTTATAGCTCAACCTTAACATTTTCTAGCTCATCCCCATTATTTTCTAGCCCAATCACGCTCATCACTAATATCTTTTACCTCAACCCCAATATTTTCTAGTTTATTCCCAACATTTTCTAGCTCATTCCCAGTACTTTTTTTCCCATCCCCAATAATTTCTAGCTCAGCCCCAATATTTTTTAAATCTCAATTATTAAGAGTTTCTTGTTCATCCCCAGTATTTTCTAGGTAATCCCTAATATTTTCTAGCTCATCCTTAATAGGCCTATTTTCTAGCTCGTCTCCAGTATTTTTTAACTACTCCCCAGTATATTCTAGCTCCATCCCCAATATTTTCTAGCTCAACCCTCATATTTTCTAGCTTATCCCCAGTATTTTCTAGCTCAGCACATGTATTTTCTAGATCATCCCCAGCATTTTCTAGCACATCCCCACTATTTTATAGCTCATCCCCTGTATTTTATAGCTCAACTTTAAAGTTATCTAGCAGATCCCAAGTATTTTCTAGCTAAACCACAGTATTGTTTTTTTGGTCATCCTTAATATTTTTTCTAGTTCATTTCCAACATTTTCTAGTTCATTTCCAACATTTTCTAGCTCATCCCCAATATTTTTATCACATCCCCAGTATTTTCTATCTCATCCCCAATATTTTTATCACATCCCTAGTATTTTCTATCTCATCCCCAATATTCCCCAGACTATTCTATTATCCTCAATATTTTTATCTCATCCCCAGTATTTTCTAGCTCATCCCCAATATTTTCTATCACATCCCCAGTATTTTTTATCTCATCCCCAATATTCCCCAGACTATTTTATTATCCTCAATATATATTTTTATCTCATCCCCAGTATTTTGTAGCTCATCCCCAGTCTTTTCTAGGTCCATCCCTAGTATTTTGTAGCTCACCCCAAGTATTCCTCAGTATTTTCTAGATCATTCCCAGTATTTCCTTGATGATCCCAAAATTTGGCAGTATTCTCGAGCCCATCCTCAATATTTTCTGGCTTATCTCAAGTATTCCCTAGGATTTTTTTTACCATCATCAACATTTTCTAGCTCAACCCTGATATTTTCTAAATAACCCCCAGCATTTTCTAGATCATCCCAACTATTTTTAAGGGTATTTTCTAGCTGATATACAGAACTTTATAGCCCAACCTTAAAATTTTCTAGCTCATACCAAGTATTTTTAAACTCAACAACAGTATTTTCTATCTCATCACTAATATTTTTCACATCATCCCAAATATTTTCAAGCCCAACCCTAATATTTTTTAGTCCAATCCCAACTATTCCTGGGACTTTTAAAAAAAAATCTCATCCCCAATATTTTATCTCATCCCCAATATTTTATCTCATCCCCAATATTTTATCTCATCCCCAATATTTTATCTCATCC